TAAGCATGACTAAACATCCGAAGGGAAGTTAAAAGAAAGAGTACAACTTTACAAACCATATCCTGTCTCAAGTAATCGCTCAATCAGTGTTTCAGCTGCGCAAAAACGTCAATATAATGGCTTGTAAACAATGTCACGCAACGTCACATTTACCTCAGAAAAAAACATATTCGGTGACCATAAACTCATTAATCATATAGAAAAATAAACTGTAGAGAGGGGCATTTATTTTTTACTGTTCTTCAATGTTTAATTTATGTTTGAATAAAGCCATCAAGTTTTTATGACAGCCACCATTTAAATGTTTGTATTTAAAAAAAAAAACTGAAGTAGAAGTATTATTATGTAACTGTAACTTTATTATTGTAAAAATTAATTTTAACCTTCAATATTATAGTAATGTAGTAGCCTACCAACTGACTCTCATGTATATTTTTCAGCATTAGTTGAGAGATTTTGTTTTTCCTTTAGAAAATTTGGCATGTACTATACCTGATACATATCCAAAATAATCGATATTGAATCGAACCGGTAATCGAATCGAATAGCAAGCTTGTGAATGAGAATCGAATCGAATCGTGAAATTTGTGTCAAAACCCAGCCCTAATAGTCATGAATAGATGTATTTATGAAACAAAAAACTCAGATGGTTTCATGGTAATAATTTGGATTTCTTTGTTTTAACTTGTGAAATATCATACAGACATTTATGACAGGTTGTGTTTTTGTGTTTGGTGGTCAGGTGATTTTGCAATCTTGTTGCACTGTGGTCTATCAGTGAGAAAGGCTCTGCTGCTGAATGTGGGCAGTGCTCTCACCTCCTTCATTGGCCTTTACATCGCACTGTCCGTCTCCACTCAAACCACTGCCCAGGAGTGGATTTCTGCCATCACCGCCGGCTTCTTCCTTTACATCAGCCTTGCAGACATGGTATGTTTGGTACTTTCTGGCTTCTTTTGTAACTCTTCTCATTAACAGAGCAAAAATACACAAAGTAGCTGCCATATTTTGTGCAAACTGTAAGCTTCATGCTTTATATAACTTGGAAGCCTGTTTCTGCCAAGGGTTAATAAAATTTAATTCTGAGAAAAAAAGTCAGAATTATGAGATACAAACTCTGAGAAAAAAAGATAAAATTGTGAGATATAAACTCACAATTCTGACTTTGTTTACTCAAAATTTCAAGTTGACATCTTGCACTTCTGATTTTTGGTTTCCGCCATACAACAAAAAATAAAAAAGTTAATAGGTAAAAAAAATTCTCACAATTCTGGGAAAAAAAGACAGAATTGCAAGATATAAACTCAGAAGAAAAAAAAAACAATTTTGACTTTTTTTCTCGCAGTTGTGAGTTTATATCTCACTATTCCAACTTTTCTTCCCAGTGAGATGTGAGATAGTGATAGTTCAACCAACTTGGTTAGCAACATTCTTCAAAAAAACATGTTTGAAACAACTTGAGGGTGTGCATGAATGACATATGACAGAATTTCCATTTTTGGGTGAACTATCCTTTTAAAGGAACACTCCACTATTTTTGAAAATAGGCTCATTTTCCAACTCCCCTAGAGTTAAACAGTTGAGTTTTACCATTTTCTAATCCATTCAGCCGATCTCCGGGTCTGGCGGTAGCACTTTTAGCTGTAGCTTAGCATAGATCATTGAATCTGATTAGACCATTAGCATCTCGCTCAAAAATGACCAAAGAGTTTCTATATTTTTCCTATTTAAAACTTGACTCTTCTGTAGTTACATTGTGTACTAAGACCGACGGAAAATTAAAAGTTGGGATTTTCTAGGCCGATATGGCTAGGAACTATACTCTCATTCCGGTGTAATAATCAAGGAACTTTGCTGCCGTAACAAAATATATATTGTGTGTTTGATTGGTCCAGACGCTACAATAGTTTCTAGCCATATCAGCCTACAAAATCGCACCTTTTCATTTTCCATCGGTCTTAGTACACGATGTAACTACAGAAGAGTCAAGTTTTAAATAGAAAAAATAAAGAAACTCTTTGGTCATTTTTGAGCGAGATGCTAACGGTCTAATCAGATTCAATGATCTATGCTAAGCTACAGCTAAAAGTGCTACCGCCAGACCCGGAGATCGGTTGAATGGATTCGAAAACGGTCAAACTCAACTGTTTAACTCCAGGGGAGTTGGAAAATGAGTCTATTTTCAAAAATAGTGGAGTGTTCCTTTAAGTAAAAACTTGTAAAAATTGTAATTTCCTGCATCTTTCAGGGTGTGGAAAGTGAAACACAAACATCTAAAGTATTTGAGTGTAATCAGGTGATCTCAACTTCAATTTCTCTGTTTTTGTCTTGTCTAGCTTCCCTCTATGATTCATGTGGACAGTAAAAAGCCGTGGCTGATTTTTCTGCTGCAGAATCTGGGTCTGTTGACTGGATGGGGGATTATATTACTCCTGTCATTATATGAAGATCAGATAGGAATCTAAAAAATTATGCAGGATTGTACTTGTGTACTTATGTACATTATCATATTCCCTTCCTTGAAGATGTTTGTGTAGGTGTAATAAACAGTGGAAATATGTGCTGCCATGTTTTAAAATGGAATATTTTTAAAACCTTGTTTATATTTGTAATACTTAATTTGTATTGTTTTTGTTGGGAACAGAAGAGAAATTACAAAAAAATATATATATATATATTACACCATACATTACACATATACTTGTTTTTATACTTTTTAAAACGCCACACATTTTCTCAGATTTTCAAATTTAAGTCTAATTAAAAATGAATATTTACAACAGATAAATCAACCATGCAAATCACTTATTTACAGTAGATAAATGGCTTTTTATGGCCATCAGCACTTTACATATAGTTTCTCATGAGGCTCCTGTCCTTCAGTTTAAATGTATATTTTTACTAGTTAATTGTAATCTGTAATAGTTGTTACTGTATTTTATTGTGAAAATGTACTATTGTAAGATACACTTGATGTAGGGATTTTACTGGTTCATTCTGCTAATATGAAGTATGAAGTAAGTTTCTGTCATGACATGTAGTGATCAAACCTGTGACTAAATAAACAAATTGTGATCTGTGGCTTTTGTCCTAGCCTGAAAATATTCACTCATAGTCTTTGTGCTTTCATAAATGTTATGTAAAGTATCTATTCAGCATTATGGTCTTGCGTATGTATGTGAGTGTATTATTAGTCATGTTAGAGATTGCAGGGCTGAAAGTGCTGTGGTAAAGCCAATGATTTTGTCTCGTCGTCAAACCTGAAGTTTCATTAGATCCTGACTCACACGACTTTTAGAAGTGCTCATTAGATGATAAAAACGCAGGACAATGACTGGTGTCTGAAATATCACGTGTACACACCCAATTTAAAATACAGTGCAATAACTGCAAACCTTGAAAAAAACGAATGCCGCTTAAAATAATTTAACGGAATTTACTCTGTAAGAAAGCTAACCATGTATTAAGACATTACACAGAAATACTGCCCTGACAAGAAAAAATGCCCTGATTTCCATTTTTGTTTTAATTCCTGTTTTATAACCATTTTGTTTTTTTTAAACATAAAACCCTTTTGATGCAATTATGTATCCATGATGCATCTATGCATCGCAATGGCATGAAGGTGAGTAAATGATGACAAATAAACATCTGAACGAACTATTCTTGTATTAAGTTTTTATGTCTCGGTTATATTCTGTCCACACAACTTGAAACACAGGTGAGTTTGAATCAATTGAACTTGAGACGAACGAGCTGACGTGAAGTGCACATGTACAACACGTGTAACTGACACACAACACTTAGTTTCCTCGTACTGAGAAACGAGGAAGACTGTTCTACAGTTTAGACCATCAGTAATTAACTTGGAAATTCTGACCTGTTCAACAATTCAAAGACTTCATATTAAGAAACAGCTTTTGATACATGCTTTTGAAACTAAGAGTTGATATTTAACAGAAGTAAATATTAGCTGATTTCTACGGTGACGCATTGCTGCCGCGCACACATTTTTTTCCACTCAATTATGTCGTAATAACGAGACGTTATGTCGTTTTAACGACATCTTTTCTCGTTTTAACGACATTTTCTCGTTAAAACGACATCTTTTATCGTTTTAACGACATCTTTTCTCGTTAAAACGACATCTTTTCTCGTAATAACGACATCTTTTCTCGTTATAACGTCATGTCATAAAAACACGTTTTCCCGTTATTATAGATATATGGTACATTATGTGAGTGAGCTAAGCGACTGTCCACGCTGCTGTCGCCACAGTCTGACATAAACAAGGATCTGCACGCTGCTGAAATTACTGAAATACACTGTTTTAAATGTATTTTAATGTAATGGTTTTAATTGTAGCGGCATGTTTATTAGGATTAATCTCCAATCTGTCTACAACATAGTGCTACAATAACTGCACTCAGACCCATGACTCCTTTAGGCTATGATCAGATCAAAACTGGGCTTATAAAACGACATCTTTTCTCGTAATAACGACATATGTTCTCGTAATAACGTCATGTCATAAAAACACGTTTTCCCGTTATTATAGATATATGGTACATTATGTGAGTGAGCTAAGCGACTGTCCACGCTGCTGTCGCCACAGTCTGACATAAACAAGGATCTGCACGCTGCTGAAATTACTGAAATACACTGTTTTAAATGTATTTTAATGTAATGGTTTTAATTGTAGCGGCATGTTTATTAGGATTAATCTCCAATCTGTCTACAATATAGTGCTATCCAATAACTGTACTCAGACCCATGACTCGTTTAGGCTATGATCAGATCAAAACAGTCATTTTTGAATAATCGACTCTGGGCTTAATATTTCTTAAGTTTGATTAAATCGAAATACGAAAAAAAAAAATTATAATAGGCTAATAATAATAATAATAATAATAATTAATAATTATTCGTTCTGTTTGTTTACGCACTGTTTAATGCAAGACATGAATGCATTTAACCTGCAATTACAAATGCATAAATAATGTTTTGATATATTAAACATA